AAGAAGTATGCATCAGTTTTCAAACGTTAATTAATAAGATAATAATTAGATAGTGTATAGATAATAATTATAATAATTAGATAGTGTTTAAAATAACACCTATATTGCTGCCCGCTGCACCGAGCGTGTCCTCAGATTATTATCGAGAAATCTGTGAGAATACGTAATAATCAAGATCTCTAATGTAAAGCTAATTATGGAGTCGATATAGTTGTGACGTAGGGCGGATTCAGCTCGATTCAATGAGAACCGGTTGGCAAAAAACCATCGGTAATTAGGGAAAAGACCTTATCTCAGTTCTTCAGTATTTTGTGATAATACCTTAGTTGTTACTAATGATGATTAAATGCTTGAGCGACTTAAAATGTTCGAACGCGAAAGAATTTATTAGAAGGAGGTCATGGGTTCTTTGGGATCCTTTTTTCCTTTTGGGCTTTACATAAAAGAAATATCCTTAGCCAATTTTGGGGCGACCGATTTGAAAACGCACTAATCGAAGGACCGTTCCGTCGTGTGGGTATGAGCGAGACAATCTTGTAGCGAACTGGAGTTAAATTAACATATACTTGATTCGTTTAGCGTCACACAAACGCTTGGAAGGCCAACAGCGTTGTGCTAAGTGGGTCCTGCATTCTTTGATGGAAGAAGAACCACTCTACATTTTCTGGCATTCTTAATCAACACTGATTGATTAGAACGAAAACACCGACTTTCGGGCCTATTTTCAACAACAAACCGTAGCTTATAGATAGATGTAAAACAACAATTCCAGGCGACTATACGGGTCTTTATGACGCCTGCGTTGGAAAACAGTGCCGAGGGTACTTGTGTGCCGAGTTCACAGTGAAACAGATGATCGTGCTTTGATGTGTCACTTATAATGCAGTACCTACGATGTAAAGGCCGATTACTTCTCATCAAGAAAAGTATGGAGTGTCTGTGGAGACAGACGCTTCCCCCATCAACTTCAATGATCAAATTAAAGTTTCGCATTGAATTTCACTGAGGGTACTTAGCGTTATCCGTGTGGAGCACATTGTAAGTTTTTCAACTATACCAGTCTCAATCGCATTAGGCTGCCGCTTCTCCAGGCAGATAGATTAATATTAGTCTGGTAATATATTTAGCACAAACAACGGTAAATGGATGTGGCTTAAGTCACTGAAGTTTGTCTTATTTTGCTTTGAATAAAGCAAAATCATAAGAAAAAACAAATACATTTAATTCTTCAGTGTTGACGACGACGACGACGACTACTCGAAATCGAAACATTTAAACTTACGTTATTTATTAGACTGGTCGATATATTTTCAGTAAGTCATCGAGAAGAATGAATACACAGACAAGTTTAGAAGATAAAATTTTAATTTATTTACCTTATATACTTATTAATATTTTCTTTATATAAAATCTCTGAGGAGCGAGTGGGCAATGGGTATTCGGTGTTTGGGTACGTACGTTGATCTATGGAGTTCGACACGTAACTGTCAAAGAACTACTCGTTCACTTTAACACGTGAATAATACATAACATTTTCTGTTCTAATTCCTTTCCGTCGTCTAAAAACTAGCTTCGAGTCAACAATGGAGCCTCTTACAAACCATGAAAATGTTTTGGACTCTAGAGGAAAAAACATACGAATGGGTAAATTTGCCTCTAAGGTTACCATACTATTGTCTCCTAAATGACACTGTTTACCGTTCTTCTCTAGATATGGCGGAATATTGAAAAGTTCAGTACTGAGACAGACGCAAGAAGTTACAGCCAGGGAAGTGAAGCCTTTGCTTCAATTTTAAATAAATCTTGTCCTTTATCTTATATTACTTACACGAATTAATAACTTTTTCACATTTACAACAACTTCGATATTTCACTTTTACTACGTGTGGACACTTTTGTTATCGAATTTTTATTTACTACAAATAGTTACACCAACGCTTTGTTCGTCTCTTATTGTAGGAATTGCCTTTATAAATTTAGCGCTTTCTTTGCTAATGCATTCTTCCTGGCCCTAAGCATTGCTTACAGTTCCTAGATCCAGTCATCTGTCTAAATTTAAAACGATTATTGAGTGCATGTACATCAACCTAACATGGTAATTAGCAAATAACACGAAACAATTTCATACGTTCAATACGTGAGTAGATGGTTCAGTAGAGAGATGTACAAACTTTTTTTTTTTTTTTTTTTAGCTGAAGAAGAGATTCTTCATGTAAGTAAAGGAAAAACATTTATTTGGACCGTGAATAACGTTACGGTAAGCGAGTGGCCTTTCTGCTACTATTTTCTCACTTAACTGTGAGTGTATCAGTTAACATGGTTAGTACGTTCAGTTTGAGCATAGCTTTTGCTTGAAAGGTGTCAACAGACCTCATATAACTGTAGATGGCTCAATTGTTCGTTCTAATCTAATAAAAATGAGCTCGGAAGTTTTTAAAACAACATGCGCGTTTGTCCGTAGCCTTGTTGATGTTTATCTTTACTTTTAATTAAATCAGATAGCTAGCTTTAAGTATTCCTTTCGACAAACCTCTCATTAAGTAGATGCACGTCAAATTGCAGGAGGAAACCATGATAATTTACGCTTTTAGTTGCTCTTCACAGCAGCTTTTAGTGAACATACTCGTTAGATGTATATAGGAATTACACACATCGCAAAAATGCATTGTCTGAATTGCCAAATGGATGCCCCTGAAATGCCGTGCCCTATCTTGAACTTACCATTACATATTTCGCACACTGTATTCTATGACAGCACAAATGTACACTTATACACCTACACACACACACATGTTGTTAATAATAACTGTAATTATTCAATTACTTATCATTCTCATGCCAGGTCCATATATGATAGCTTGTCATAACTCCTTTCTTCATGCGTAAGATCTTTTACATCCACAAAGGGTAGGTGCTAAGCGGCCGTTGATAAACTAAGCTTAATTATTGCAGCTCTTTTCTTGTTGGCATTATTTTGATGATAATTTTATTTGCCGTATCGGACCCAAGTGTTATCTGCTTATTTCTGCTCGTCTCCACAACACCGTAAACGCTTCTTCTCCATATCTGTAGCAGCAGCAGCAGCAGCAGCCGCAGCACCAGCAGCAGCAGCAGCACCAGCAGCAGCAGCAGCCGCAGCACCAGCAGCAGCAGCAGCACCAGCAGCAGCAGCAGCCGCAGCACCAGCAGCAGCAGCAGCAGCCGCAGCACCAGCAGCAGCAGCAGCAGCAGCAGCAATACAGTTAATCTGAGGGCGAAGCCAGGGCTTCCACGCATGTTAGGATAGTGCGCGATAAATTTCTATTCTTGCTGCTAGATGTACGCTAATTGAATCGCTTCCAACAAACCCACTCACTGCTTGATGTGGCAGATATATTTTGCCGATCGCTTGTTTACAAGTAGTTTGTGCTTGATCCGCCCCGAACTTACGTCCCCGCGCTGTGCTTCTTGCACAGGTCTGTCTTCGCCTTTCTCCATCTCGTAGAGCTGCTCGTTCTCTCTGAAAATAAATATTTTTGTATTCTTTGTTTTTTCTGCCGGCGCAGCTCACCTTATTCGTTTGCAGTCGTACGCGCCGTGCAAACGTCGCCTACAGCTGTACATATTACACGGTAATAGATACAGTTAACTCGCGTTTCATTTTTCTGGGCCGAAACCCAATTGAAGCAGAAGTAGTATTTTGTTCTATGACTGCGGCCTCTCGGCTATTCGGTTGAAGACGCTAATGTTTGCGATCAAAACAAATCACAGTAAAATCCTACATCAAAGCTGGTGCCCAATTAACGGGAGTCCCTGATTTGTCTAATTTCTTGCTTTGGCAGTCCTTTGTTGAGTCAATCGTTTCGCTGTATAACTTTGCTCTCCACAAAAAAGAACCATTGCAGACTTGTTGCCGGACACCTTGCTACCTTAAACAATGCGGTGACACGAAATCGTAAAGTGTAATCATCACCTTTCTGAACGATTAAAATGATGATGAAGCTAATCTGTTAACAAGATCTACCGTATAGCAGGCCACCAGTCAGGGTGCATCGGATAAAAATAGTACGACACAACAGGCCACGGTTTATTTTCTTGTCAACATGGTCACTTTACCGTTCCGAGCATTGCTGTGATTAATAATATACATAGTATTTACATAATCTTCGATGGTTATAATGAACGAATAACCCTCGTACTTCATCTCTCGTTGATAAATCCAGCTGCTAGTAGAATATGCTGTGGTGGTTTTGCTCAAACGACAAACTAATTACAACAGCACCGTTGCTCTTATTTTCTCCTCAATTGACAAATTTTACCATTAGAATACTGTTTTTATATCTGACAAATTTCTATAGTGTTTCCAGCCGACACGTCGGCGAAAAATAATGAAATAACCATTATATATTACTTATACGAATACCAGACAGGTCGAGTAATTATTAATATTCATTGACGATAATAACAACGATGCTATTGCACTTAGGTAGATGCTATCTGGCCGCACTCATCGCTTCAAAGACCTTCAAAGACCGAAATATCACTGGAATGGGCCTTTTTTCATTTTAGTCAGTACTTATAATGCCAGCTGATCCAGCGGAGTCAACGCTTCGTCCTATTTTGTGCCTCTGCCAACATTTGACCTTAACTAGTTTTCAAGGTCTTCTGTATAATAGTAAACATTAATACCTTAATAATTATGATTTCCTCGTTTTCTCAGTCTTTTCTCATCTTCCCGACATGATCTAAGAAGATGACCCGCATTCCGCAACGTCCTACCTTTTGGTGATGCAAAGAGCATCTAAGCTCCTCAGCGTGATAATTATTTTAAATAGGCGTGTAGGAAAGCAGTGTCTACAACTAAATAGTGACTGTTCTCTTCCTTATGCGTACATTTTATTATTTATGGGAATTTGTTTAGGAAGAAAATCGACTCTGAGAGGATTTACAGTGTAATTACAAGCATGGAGCAAACGGACAGAGAACTACATGCTTAACAGCATTTCTGACCAACTAATATGATAATCTTGTCCTTCTTCGGGTTCCAAAAGTAGCATCACAGTAAGCGTAATAATTAACTTAAACCGTATTAATTAACAGGGTAGGAATAGTACTGTATAATAGTGAATATGGTAATATCATAATAATGATTCAACGAGTGCTGCCGTCACCGTCATTAGCTGAGGCGATTTAATCAATGAGCCGTTCTCGGGTTTCGAGATGCCTCCTATAATGAGTACACTTGCTCTTGAGGTATCTATGGGCAACATGAAGGAGGTAATAGTGCAGACCCAAACACAAATCATACAATGAAGAGTTTGAGCCCTCAGTTGTACCTACAACTTCTCTGGGGTTGCAGGCGCTAAATTAATCAGTATGGTATACGTATCTCGTTACAGGATGGATTAGTTAGTTCAGTCAGTGCGAGTCACTCGTTGGCGACGTTGCAAAATGCGGCTAGCATCATTGTCTTCATAAATGATATTATTCTCATTATTGTTGTCTACGAAGGAGTCGAGGAGGACTCGCCGTTTTAGACCGCGGTCTGCATAAGCGAGTCATTTCTCGATTGTTATGAGCTTCCTCCACCGGCGCCAGCTGCTGTGACAGCCGTTGAATTGTTACAGTTGTTGTTAGCAGCTGTTCCAGAAGACGTTGTTGAGTTCGCGTTCGACGTTGTTTCTCGCTGCAGCTGTTCGAGCTTTCCGAGCATCCAGGTGAAGGTCGGCCGTTCTTCAGGCTCTCGATGCCACGCTCGTTGCATCAAATTATATATTTCTGATGGACAACCTTCGGGCGCTTCCATTCGGTAGCCTGAACAATTCAGTCGTAATCAATCATCAATTGGTGAAAATCCAAAATCCAATCAATATTTTAATGCAAATGCGAATGTCGTTAAGGTTTAGCGATAATGGATAACGTGACGGTTCACAAGTTATTGTTACGAATTCACTTCAGAGTGATCATCAGCAAAATAATGCTCGTACCACTCGACAGTAGCCGTAGATCTGAAGCAATGCTCAGAGGCAATACCGAACGTAAAACTGAAAACATTTATTCATTAGCAGCGATCGTAGGAACGATACTCCGTGATAATGAAAAAAAGGAAAACATCTACAAAAACATGTACCTTTATCAACGTGACGTACAACTTCTGCTAACGGTATGCGGGGGTAGGGCACTCGGCCAAATGAGTAGATTTCCCAGAGGAGAATCCCGAACGACCACATGTCCGTCTTATTTGAAAATAGATTCGTCTTAAGCGCTTCTGGTGCTGTCCACTTAATTGGGAACTTGCCAACTGAAAAAAGTCAACCATCTCTATTCATTGGTTTTTCTCCGCCGTTAAAAATCGAGGGCAACATTGACAAATGCAAGTATTAGATGATTCGATTGATTGTACTGAAATTTTGTTTACTTACCGTCGGGGTTATCAGCATCTTGACTTTTGGCTAGTCCGAAATCGCTTACTTTTGCCACTCCATCATCCGAGATGAGAACATTTCTAGCAGCCAAATCACGATGTACGACATGCCGGCTTTCGAGGTACGCCATACCCGCACATGTATCACGAGCAAAATGAATCTGGTCCCTACGAGTAACATGAAGTCTGCCCCGTGAGCGGAGATAGTCTACCAATGAACCCTTAGCCATATACTCCGTAACTATCTGTACTAGTCCATCGGCCTCCATAACAAGGCCTAACAGCTGGACGAGATTACGGTGCCTTAACGACGTCATCATTTGAGCCTCAAGCACGAGTGGGTTTGACCCAGCACCGCCTCCTCCTCCTCCTCCTGCTAGACGTGACTCGGGCGACTCGACCGTTTTTACGGCAACCTTATTCCCCTTGTACATACCCAACTGTACGTCGCCGAACTCGCCCTTGCCTGAAACAACAACAAATACAATGTTTTTCTCATTAGATGGATATCTTGAACTAAGTGAGTAAAAAAATTATCAATGGACAGACAAACTTTTTCACTATCAATGGTAGACGATATAGCACGTACCGATGCTCTCAATGATACAGATATCTTGAGACTTGATCAGCCAGCCGGTCATTTCAAACGCACGTTTATCCGCCGTGCCATTACTACACGAAACACCCTTCTTGGGCAACGCGTGCGTAAGTCGCGTACACAATCCGTCCGCGTCCATCTCATAATGTTCGACGAGCTGCGATAACGTACCAAAGTACTCCTCTTCGTCGATAGTCAACCCACCAAGATCGTCTTGTGTAATTATCCTGAGAATATGCATAACATTAACATGTACGTAACATACATGTATATGATTCATTAATCATATGTTTTTCCATTATAAGCAATAAAAAATTGTCTTGTAATATTATGATCGCTATCTAGACGTGGAGCCCGTAAAGGCCTATGCAGTGTACATATATAGTAACAGAAAGTAGTTTTTTGCCTACCGATAGTGTTCGACTTTGTTGTTGAAGCACACACAAAGTGTGTAATCCCCAGGGTAGTTGGTGCTCTCGCGAACGAGGAAAGCCCCGTCAGACGGATTCTGAAGCAGGAGTCGTTCCGCCTCCTCGCGGCAGATCTTTCCGTGAAACCAGAGCATGAGACCGGCTCGACCATCGCCTCGCTTCATCAAATAGTTCAGTGGTACGAGACCCTCGCGACCATCAGCATGTTTTGCTTTGAACCAGTTCGGGTCCTGCAAAATCAGAAAGTGACAGTCGATGTAAACTTAATACCTGTAAGCTTTAGCATAACACCTTAGGTCTTCCCTTACCCCCTGTCAGTTCCCTTACCGAAGCACCCTTCCGAACGTATTTATTTGTATAACGGTAATTCATAGCTAAGAAACCTCAAAATTGCGATGGGAGGGTCATAAAAGAAATATACGCTGAACTATAGCGGGTTTACAAGTCCGACGCGTATCTGGAACTACGTTCGATAGATTTGAAACTGGAAAATAATTAGCTACAAAAGCTAACTCAGTGTCTTTACGCGGACCACACGTCTTTCCAGATTACTTGCGGCCAAAATGGCTTACAAGACGACCGCAGTAACACGTTGCACAAGTCACCAAAACAATATTTTCGGCAAATACCTGCTTATACCGGGCCCACTAGGGCCAGGCCGATAACTGAGGCCAAAATACTGGATGACGATTAATGTCATATATTACACCGGGAATATTAATAGTCTTGTTCTAGAACTCTGAACCTGATCTGGAACTGAATGGAGCAGCTTGTTCGACATTCGACCATAGCATGTATACGCAAGTGGGAACCGCTGAAAAATCGAAATCCTTTACATATGCCACTATGTCACAGCAACGACGTTATTATAGCAGATTTTGATGACTAACTTACCTTACAGGCCAAATTGAAGCCCGCATATAACACGAAGCACTTATTTCTTATGAGAGCATATTGCCGATTTTCGTATAATTTACGATTATTCGTCCACTGTATAATTTCTACTTTTAAAAACAGTAAACCAAAACAGATAATGTAGTAGATGCTATACTTCAGTACCAGCAGAATCAACCAGATTAAATTATGTTTAGCATGGACTTCGAGGTTAGCATGGCACATTTCGACACTAAAAAGCCGAAAACGAAACGAAAGAACTAGCCATTTCTATTCCCATCTTTGCCTTTTTAAGGCTGGTAGGCGAAGGTAAGATAAATCAAAAAGCGAGATAAGTCTGATCTTTTTCCAATGCGATATGTCGCATACACATGCTTTGATCGTGCTTCTGGATAAACCGTCAGTCGCATTATATTACTACTTTCATATTTTTGGTATGATCTTTCTGGACTCGAAGCTTTGTTGCGGAAATGTCGTCGAACGTGAGCATTTTGACCGAAACCCCCACTGTCGTCGTGCACCGTAACCATCGAAATTATTTTCCGATCATTCAGTGATTTAGTGTGTGTCGCCAGTTCGGCCCATGCTGCTGCTGCTGCTGCTGCCCTCTAGTAGCCTCCGAATACATAATACTTCTACCATTTCCAGTTTAACGTTCCTCTATGGCTGCTTAAAGCTAGACGTACACCGAATGGTTCAATGTCAGTTTTCGAAACTGCCATTTTTAACTAGATCCTAATTTTGACGATTAAAATTTACTGGAGGAACACCAGATATGTTTCCGTATTCTATTAGTGCCATAGTGCTACATTTCTCGAGAATTACTTGTGCTGGCGAGAATTACCTCAAGTGTGTCAAGCTAAGGGCAAACATCTAGCATTCAAAGGGGAGACAACTTACAATGCACAGCTCAGAGTTATGCACGTGTATAATGTTTTTTAAAGTTATAGCTAAAAAAAGTTAAAGTTAGTGAGTGCATGACAAGTGGGACACACGATTCAGGCCTTCATCGTTCGACACTGCATATATGATCAGTGACACCGTAGTAATATTTGATCAGTGATGGTTCTTTCAGTAATTTTTCTCTGTCGTTCACATTAAATACGTGCGTTAAATAGAGTCGTATTCTGAACACAACGTAGTAATCATGCGGTACCGTAAACAATGTTGAACGATTTGGTATGTTCCCAAAGGTGATCTTCTCATTTTTTTTGAAGTCTGTTTACAGTGATCTAACGACATAGACTACGAGGCTTAGAACATATCGACAGTATTCCATTTCTTCCTATTATCTGCGTTTTTCAAAGTCAAATCCATTTAATGCGCTCTAGTTTGCAGCGGCTATGCGTCCCTCCAAGACTATAATCAGTAGAAGCTACGCGTGAACGAACAGTGGGTAGGCCTGAGTGCTTCCATCTGTAAAAAAAATCATATATCAAGTTTTAATTATTCCTATTACATATCAGAGTTTCCCTCGCACAACTCAGCTGGTCGCCAACGAGATAATGGCAAAAAAGGAGTGGGACTAAGTCAATTACCGTAGCACCCTTGTGAGACAATATCCTGGCCTGAAATGAGAAATGTGCAGGGAATTGAAATGCTGTTATGTTTGGATTACCCTGCAGAACCTTCGCTTAGATTGTCTCAGCTAGACATGAGCGGTGATCACACTTGAGATGAAATTAAACATTCAGACCTAATCAATGCCTGTGAGATACTCGGTACGAACCACTGCTGTTGCTGCTTCTGCCAGCTTTTAGAAAATTGACACGGTATATATGTGTATGTATATAGCAACAGGGCCTTGGTGGCGAGCACCTGACAAAATGCCGCGTAGCATCAGAATCTCTAAGATACCCAGCTGCAACCGGACGTGGAAATATTCTATTCGAAGACATGATTTGTTTTCCAACATGTTTGCCACGCCGTCGCTGGAGCAGCAACGAGCTTCTTGTCGCGGAGAAGTGGCAATCAACCGGCTAGCTTTGTATAAGTGCACAGTGGTGCGTCAAAACTGACAATTTCTCCTTGCTTTGTTTCTAAGTGAAAAAAACATTTCTAGGACTTTTTGGCCTGTGCTGCAAGTGTCCTTTCCATCTGCCGTGGCTACGGCTTTGAAATCACTAACTAGTCATTTTTAAAATATACTTTCTCTACTCTAATATATTGTTTTTCAATAGTAACCGTTCCTTTGGCGATGTTGGTAGGCGTAGGCCTGTTAAAATGACCCTTATATATACAAAAACCTGCAGCGGAAATAAATGTTGGGCTTTTAGCAGGCCAAAAATCTAGAAAATACAAGGGGATGAATCAATGAAAAAAATCAAACGATGCAAAAAACTAATATTGACAAGGTTACTTGTTGAAGCTTATTTGGATGAGGAAATTGGCAATTAAGATTTTTCCACTCAGTTTCTGTATCAAATAGCTAATAATATGAAAAAATGTTTTTTTGAGGCATTTCGAGGAACTTTCGAATTGCTCTGAATTTTCCAGTGTGCCTCATAAAAGCCTTCCTTGAATCCTTTAGCAACCGCATGAAAGCTGGCAATAATTCTTTCATCAAATGCAGAAAGATTTAATATTAGCTGATCCGAAAATGACATACTGCTGTTGGCCATAACGAGTTTGTTGTTACGTTTTCGAAAGAACTGACTTTCGTCTGGTACCAAAAGTAGCAGAAGATGCGTACCCGTTACGACAAACAGCATCTACTCTCAAAAAACAGCGGAAATTCCAGGATCTTCACAAATAGTTTTCTGTGCCCCTTCTTATCAACTTTCTATACTTTCAATCTAGTGCTTATTGCAGATCACCCGCTTTAGTTCACATAAATCTTTTGTTGATTCTCCGGAAGCCGCATATTGACTGGCAACAGCCATCAGTTATTATCTAGGTGAACGCTAGTCCGGCGAAATAACTTTAGAACAATAGCTGACATTCTTTCATAGTCTGAAAACAGACCTGCTGGCTTCACCATGATGAGTTTGCGCTTTTGTCGTAGAAAAAAATAGGCATTCAATGGCGGGTAAATTCATGCCTATTACGACAAGCAGCTCGCTAGAATTGGACCTAATTCGTTTCGAATATATTCTCAATTTCCATTGACTGGCAGCAATACCTTGAAGAAAGATTTTGGTGCAAGGTGTGTCGCGGCAAACCTGAATTGCCCTCTAGTACCGACGGTAATTCAAGGAAAAGCCTATTTGTTAATAAAACCACAGACATCACCCTGAACGAACCCGGGCCAAAACCCGCCAAAACTGATGGTTTACCGCATTGTAGCGGGATACGGGGATGCAAGAAAGACAAGCAGATTAACATATTCGACAAAACGAAGAAAAGAACTACCATATTACTAATTAAAATATTACAAAAATACATTTCTGGTGATTCTGCATTGGGGTCTGAACTCAACATAATTAGGCTTCCATTGCTCGAAATGTTCATGAACGCCTTAGGTACCGAAGCTTAGCACAAGTTCTTTGCGAGCAGCAACGCCAGTTGACCTAACCAGCCTTTCTTGCTACTCACGGCATTCAAAACGCAGCGACAGGCCATCTTTCTCCGGTATTTAGCATTCTCTGGTATCTCTGGTAATTAGAAAATAATTAGTAGCGAGGCCCAATACATTCGTAAAAACGACGGTTGAATTGACTACGGTCCAAGATACCCATATGATCATTAAAACCAAATGTCCAACCATATTTTTCGGAAGGGTGTATTCGCTTCGATGTTCTGAAAAGTGTGGTAAAACTTCAACTGATTATTATCTGAAACGATACGGCAAAAGCCCATCAGTGAGGTGTCGTAATCGGTCATGAGAACATACTAGTGCAGAGCTAGCTCGCTGAACATATGACCCTTGTTCTGGGATAAGGACCCATGCGCGCCGAACGGCTCAGCTTAAAACCCGCTGTATTATTATGTATGAGAAGTCAATAAGCGAAAATCTAGCAAACTTTAACGCGACAACGTCGCCCACATCAATGTCGCTGCTTAGAAGGCGTTCAGTGTTATAAATGGTATTGTTTTAAGACGAGCTTGTGTGCCATTCAGGAGTAGAATAGAAGCTTTGACGGAAGCTAGAAGCACACAAAAAGTAAAACAGTATAAATATTTGTTTTCATTTAAATGCATTTTATAAGTAAGTAACATCAAACTCATCTCACAATATTACTGCCAACCGTCCATCAAATCCTAGAAGAGGTCATGTTAGATTCCTTAATTGTTACTCACTGGTCCATTATATTCTACATGGATAGTTCTTGTTTGAATCTTAAGGAGTCGCAATTTGGCTGCGATGAATAAATTACCTAGCGCTTATTCTATTCATGCACAATAGTAAGCGCCTGAATGAAGTAGCACTCTCGCTCAGTCCAGAAACTAGAGTATGCGGTAGCCAATAACTGTTGTTTATTAAAACAGATTTCAACTATATGCTATAGGCTTAAAGGTAAGTTAAAGGTAAAAAAAAATAAATACCGGTCAGCCGCTATGCGTATGATGCAGTCTAAAGTATTTACGCAAGCGGTTAATTAGAGACCGAGAAATTTTGCTTCGACATTAGGCGACTACGCTTATTTTCAATGCTGTTATTAGATATGACGTAACGGTGCAAGTAACCATCGAAGATCGTTCCCATAAAGCGCGTACCCAAGTATAAACATGCTTATCGAAACGGTACTACGACCATCACCATCAGCCTCATCGGCCGCAAACGATCGACAATAAAGTAAACAGCATTACTTTAGTTCAATATGAATGACCGAGTGACGCTGGTTATTCTGTGAGCATAGCGCCAAGCATAAAAATAATTGTTCTAAAAGTCATCGTAAGCTTTTAGCAAAAAATAACAAAAACAGGAAGCCAACACACAGTTTTGTTCATAGCGCTTTCAGAAACAGTGTCGCATAAGTTCCATGAAAACAAACGCTAGGCCGTAGTGACTGGAGCTAACTAAAAAAATCAACGTTTAGAAACCAAAAAGGCGCACTAGAAAGCCGCTTAAAGGGCAGCAGGCTCACCGCATGGCCTGCTGATTGTGCAGTAGCATCATCATCATCAGCACTATCGCCACTACTGCGAAAGCCTTCTCTGTGCATCGCTAAGCCGCATGAAAGATAGAAGCACATTCACACACGCAAATATAGCCACCTACACACGGGGGCAACACGTGTGCACGCTGGCTGCTGAGTCACTTCATATCTTTCTTTTCTTGGCCAGCTGCGACGGTATTTCCCCCTACGAATCTGATGTCCAAACTACGACTACTTTTGCGGTGACTGCTGCAGCTGAATCCCTCGTTGTTCTTTTTTCACTACAGTGAAGCACGTGGGTAGCTGACTCAACGACTCGTGCAACGTGCACTTATATCTGGCCTTCCTAGAAAGATACTTCGCTGCTTTTTTTTTATTAGATTAGCTGCTATAAAGTCACTGTCCACATAGTACAATACGAGAGTTTTAACCGAGCGGATCTGCTACTCTACCACGTCGCAGAGTCTTGATCAAGCATCCCCAATTATCAGACGCTCTACGCGATTCTACGAATTTATTTTACCCAATTAAATATTCGAAAAATTGTTATTGAGAGATTAATTGAACACGATGCTAAACGTATGTTTCAAATTTCGAAACATTACCCACAAATTTTTTACTTTTAAGACGATTTCTTTCCGAGCAGGCGCCTTTGACTAATAGCCACTCAGGTTCACGCGTTATTTGAAAGCTAGATATACAATAAAGTACATTTTTCTTTCTATTGTTTAACTTGTAGAGTATTGTCGTCTGTGATAAATTTTTCATCACACGAGATCAACAATGACTCGATTCTGTTTCGTTCCGTAGCAGATGGAAAAAAACAATCAGTTCTTTTGCGTCAATCCGTGCGTCACCAAGGCATTATAAAAGAGCAGCTTTCTTTGGTAATCTATATTTAGTTTCTTGACGTTATTATAGCTGTTCGCGCGCTAATCCTGCTCAACTTTTGCAATAATTTTATCAATTTTCTTTGCGATCGGTCGACCAATGCGAAAAATATATTTTGCATTTGGATTTTCAAAATCATCTTTGGACTGTTTTTCCAATAATGCATCTAAACCATAGACAGCATACTTTTTTTTATACACTCGGCCACCATTTGCGCCTTCGCATTTCATCGTAATAGAATTGTAAAGCCTAACGAATTTTGCTTATTTTCAAGGTTCTTTATCCTAGTTCGAAACTAGAATATCTAGCAATCTTAGTATAGCTGCGACTGGAAAATTTCAGCTTCCAAATGCCGACCGAGCATGACTCATCTTACCTGGTAATCGTGACTTTAAAACCATCTAGCTAGAGAAACGATCCGACAAGCCAATACATGTTGGCTTGCCTATAGCCGGAATTTTCCTTGTAACTTATTCCTAATACTATAATGTAAACAAGATATATATACAACGACTTTGTTCGCATGTGCTAAAGATGTCATTGTTAAGTCAATAGAACTACGGTCTGCCGCGATTACAACTTCAAGTTAATTTCAAATGTTTCTCGTAAAATAAATAAACGATGTGACATTGTGACATCAAGCCTAGATCGATCCTCATTCTTTCACTCACCATACATAACAGTCCAATGGGTTAAAATCGGAGTTGTTTATGTATCTATTCTAAAGCATACTCAACTTTTTTGGTGGCCAAGCGCACACTATGATCTATTGTACCACCTTGTTCGAAGGCATATGGCCTTCCCTTAGGCACTTGTGACTATTCATGGTCGTACAGCTGTTTATATAACAGACAGATGAAGTTCTTTGGTGGTAACTAGGTTTTTCTGAAAAAGATCCTGTGACATGGCGTCTCTTTTAGAGCGCAGCACACGCATAGCGTACTCATTGGTCATCATTATTTTGCCCACAAGCAACACATCCTTTGGATTATGGGCAACTAGCGATCGTTCCTGCGGTTTATTCTGGTATGTAGTTCACTGTCAGAGAAGAATCCAAGACGACTTGCTTTTGACATGTGGTACGTACGAACCTTTACGACATATGACGTGAACTTGAAGTCTCCGTGAGCAACCCATAATAGCCCTATCCACATTAAATTTCTCCGCTAATAACCCAAACAATTATTAACCATGCAGCTTTGAATGGCATTAATATGCATTACTCTTTTTTTGTTTGTTGTACATTCTCCGTTCAGTTATGTTGAGTAACTTCGCGCGCACAATTCAATGACGTATAGCGAGTTTGCGGTGACAAACGTTGATTAGCTTCTCATACAAGGCATATGTATATATATATATATATATATATATATATATATATATATACCGTGAGAAACTATTACTACTGAATTGCAGCCAGGATTTGTAAAACCTAAAAGTATTATTTTCAAATTATACTAGCTTTCTGGCCTAGAAGTGCTGACAACGCCTGTTGGGTTTGAGGTAAACAGCATCGGGTAGAAAACATTAGATACATAATCAACCACTCGAATGCAAAATGATTATTTCAAGTAGAAGGGTGGCACTCTTGTTGCTTACAAAGTAACTAGGGTCTTGAGGCTTGCTGACTCACCACCATAAAATGCTGTGGTGACTTCAATGGAAAAAGCAAAGCCAGAGATCAGCGTTGTACAACGTAATCTGCGTCAAAGTAAAATTACTTGATATAAGTACACTGGTATTACAGTAAAACGAGTATTTTCGAAATGTTAGTACATAACAGATTAACCACACACGGTTAAATCTCTGAGCGTGTAATGTCTGACACGAATCGACTTATACGGACGGAGCATTGCAGGAATAAGGAATTAACGCGAACGTACAGGAAAGACATAACTCACCGGAGTAGCAGCCATGATGGTAAGGACATCTCCCTTGGAGAATGTAAGGTCTTCTTCAGAGTTCGCTTTGAAATTGTACCGTGCAATAACCTCCGTTCCAGGACCCCACTGAAACGCAAAACAGCATAGTAAACACCCATTAACACCGTTATTGGTATAACGTACTACGATACATCAAACACAGCCTGCAGCTAGCTCTCTAGTAATAATTTAAACATTAAGGAGCCAAATCAATCACTTATATATAAGCATAATGTAAGCAGTAAGATACATCATCTAGAAAATTACGTAATAGTTCACTAAATACTAAAATTAACATACTATGTGTACACGCAACTAAATCCTTGAATTATCCAATGTGCTCGAGCTTACGGAAAATAACGTTGAAAGCTACCCGATAAGACCCATCGGTGCAGTAAGAATCGTGAATGTACATTTTCGAATCGGACTCTTTAGATGTTCGGCAAGCAGTTGAAGAAAATCAAAGGTTTCAAAGAAGTACCCATCATTACGTGACGAGTTCAACGCCGAATTTTATAAATTACCGACAGGCCTTAAGCTTTGCCTAAACGACAGCCTATTTTAGGTTAGTTATCAAGTAGTTTATGTATGTAACGCCTTAAAGGTGCTACGCTGTACCCATAGTAGAGAAAAAAAAAAAAACAGTAGGAGATAGTAGCTCTTAATAACTTCGTGAACGAATCGAATAGTGCAGCTAAAGACAAAGTACTGTGGCGTGATCAGGCCGGATTTATAAAACCGCTACTCTTATTCCAGTGGTGACGCAGTAGATAACGTCTCTGCCCGTGTGACAAATGATGGTCCAGATTAAATCCGAGAATTTGTTTCATGCTGGGAACCAGCTGTCTCAAGTAATGCCTAATGATCCAAGTACCGGACGTAATAAACATAAACAGTTTTCATTAAACATCACTGAATGATTGCCACCAAGGGTAGCCGTTTCGCAATAAGTATAGTTTACGCCGGACGGCGTTAATTGTAGTTAGATAGCAGGTCGAGTTAATCAAAACAAGTAGATGTCTCTAACTATTCGCTCGTAGGAATATCTTCTTTCGAAAGAAAAGATCTTTACGAATACAGCTACGAAAGTTTTAGTGAACCCAAGCCCACTCTGAGGCTTGGAAGTTAACGGAAACTGTTTTTTCGCACCTTCGCTTTGGTTGCATTGCAGGTCCAGGTGTCCAGTTTGATATCATCTGAATGAAAAAATTGTACCTTCTAATCCTTCAGCTAGGCCCCCGATTTGATTTTGGCATAAATAGCACTGTCGCGAACTATCGCGAGGCTGTTATTCGAGCGCCTACAAAGATGGGCGACGAAACTCATTCGCTACTAAAAAAACATTTTTTAGTTTTATTATATAGCAGGACTTACAATAGGTTCAATCTTTATTCTTATTATGTTTGACATTTACGTAATCAAGAATAGGTCCTACGATTTTTACGAACGGTTAGCACATTGATAACTAATTTCATTGACCAGCTTATCTATTAGAGTACTCCGTTATTTTATAACTAATTACATATTAAAGTGATAGTTTGCGTTTTATAGAAAATGCGTTGGCAGTAATTTAAAAGCTCAATATACTATAGTTTAATGCGGTATAGATCTTGAAGAGCTCCAAAAAGGAAGCAAGCTACTAAAAATAGCTTTTTATAAATAAGTAACTGGGATTTGAACGACTGCGTTTGGACAGATCGAGGCTTGCCCTATTGCACAGGTCGTGCACTATTAACTTCCTAGGAAATGATTGCTAAATAAATCATATTGGAGCATTAAAAGTCAATATTAGAATATTTTCTATAGGAAAGTTCAGAAACTGAAAGCAGTTTCACACCTCTGTCGCAAAATCTACTATATCTACCAATCAAATTTGCGTACTTGGTAGCAGCAAAGGTAACTAAGTGTAAGGAAAATAGGCAGAACCGCCTCGAATAGAATTAAGACACACACCGTCCATCCAAGAATGATTCACAACTATGAAAGAAACCCTTGCTTGTTTGATATATCACGACGCAAAGGCTACAAGACAGAAAATATCCGATTAGCATTGGTTAACACGTACGAAAGGTACACAATAGTGTCAACGGGTAACTTTTGCCATGCTCAAAGAGGCTTCTTAACGCCAAGGAAATTAATATTTGCAATTATTGTATTTTTACTTTTGTAGGCAACATGTAAGCGGAACAGGGGAAGACGGAAGGGAAAAGACACGCTCCCTGGTAGCAGTAGACAATAAGAGAACAAACAGTGGCGAATAATTTAGACCCAACTAGAGACTCACTATAAAATCAAAGGCGGACCAATTAACTGTGATAATGATACTGATAGGCTACCTATCCTCGTTATATACCGTATTTGCCTGCTAATCTTAGGGGCTCATTGTGGTCTAAATTCGAACCCGGGCATAGACACACTTCGTATCCTGCCGGGAGCCAACCGCATGATGGGATGGAAGACTTAAAACAGGGACTAGATTGTTATAAGTAGCTCGGGATAACGTTAGCTAGTTTCTTCAACTTAAATCCGAAATCTCATGTGGTTATTGAACTTGATCGTCTCAGTGTGTCACATTATAGTTTGAGAGCACCAAAGAGTAGTTATTACGTAATTTAACTAACCGTAATAAGAATCGCGTAATGTGCAAATCATATAGGTTTGATAAGCAGATTTCTTACAAGACCAAATGATTGGTCAACCTAAGAGCAAGTTCTATTTGTATGAAGATAAAATGTTAGAATTGTGTTGATCGAGCTCTTCTCTGAAGTTATTGTTTGGATTAAATATATACAAAGTTGGTTGAGGCTGTACTTTATTCTCTGCGTGGGTCACAGTCTCATTCGATATAAAAGCCACTTCCTGACAGTCCTATCTGCAGTTGGCACACCTGTGGTGGGAAGGGGGTGAGGGGTGTATGTGCTGGTCATGCACAGAGAGTTAGCAGAAGTTCATATTGAATGTTGTCATGGGTAACGCATTGGCAAGGGGATGAATTCCATTTTTATAGAAATGTGCAACTGCGCCATCATCATTATCGACGGCATCGCTGGCAGTAGAAACTGTATGACGGTGATAAAGTTGCAACTCCTCGGCTTCAATAGGGCCGCGCCTTCCCATAATAGGTCTAAATCTATCTAGAGATATAGACACACCATGCTAAGGATTAGTTCTAGTCCGATAGTGAATAGTCGATTGATTATAATTAGTCCTCTGCTCTGTTTCTACATCCATACATACCTTAACATTACCCTCCATTATGATTCCGGCACACTCTAGATCCGTTCCTGCACTACACGATTAATTAGCTTCGACCTGGTTTAGCGATACATCATAATGGTAATGATGTCGTTGTTGTTGTTGTTGTTGTTGTTGTCGTCGTCGTCGTCGTCGTCGTCGTTGTTGTTGTTGTTGTTGTTGTTTCGCGTACATCGATGTCTTACCCTGCCGTTACTTGACCAGCTTTATACAGAAGCAATATCAGTAACAGTTTTTGCTCACAACAACACACGCACGCAGAAACACGTAAATGCCAATTGCCATCCACACAGTGGGATAATTATGTAGCAGCACTAGAATTACGAGTTTGCATCAGTCGACAACAAATTACTTAGCCAAACACGACCATTACTAACAGCTATACTACCATTCACCAACACCACAGCAGCAGCAGCAGCAGCAGCAGCAGCAGCAGAATCGGTCGCAGCCAGCTAACCAACAGCAATAGCCTCAACCTCAGCATCACCATCAGCAACAGCAACGGCAGCCCTTAGGGGAACAATGAACATTTGAAGGAATCTTCTTCGTCGTCATCGCCGCCGCCGCCTGCGAGTCGCTAAAATACACAATGGGAAATAGAGAACATGGGGGAGAGGGGGAAACCAGTTAGTAAATATTGAGGCGCCATCTTGATCTGGGCACCACTTCGCACGGGCGAGAAGCTTCAAATGTAAGCTAGTCTAGTTCGACATGGCAAAGCAACTTGTAGTAGGCAGGTGGAGGACAATAAGTAGTTGCTGTGACCCTTCGATGATTAGTACTATTGAATTCAATACAAGGAATTTTCTTTTTTTGATATTGTGGATAACTCTACCGTACACTCGCAGACTAATTTTCACAATACTTTCTACAAGAACTATGCAGTTTTTACTTCAATTTGTTGATTGTTCTTTCACCTAAGTATAGTGATTATGATGAACGATAAGAATTTACTGCTCTATCCTATGGAAAGGTAAAAATGAGTCATTAAAAATCTCCAATGGAAGAGGATTTAATATGCCCACACTAGAGAAAAGTGCGGATTTTTTTATCAAAACAGGTCCAATTGAAGCTGTTGTACTTCATTCTATTGGTCCACTACACTTTACGCTACTGTTCCTTTCAACTATTGTTATTCGAAGATCTGCCTTCTATGCCGGCCAGCGAATGAATTGTCTTGCTCAGAGGAATCGAACTGCATAGAATTTGCTTTATACCAACAGCAAAAAGGCGACACAAATCTATATAGAATTTTCTTTATACTCGAATTGTTTGCTACTTTATGGAATTACTTTTATTTAGTAACACTACTGATCACTTAGTATAGCTAAAGACCGGCAAGTTTAGTGTGTACGGTGGCAGTTCTACCGAATTAAACGAACTCAAAAGGTGAGAAATCTTTTTTCGTAGTGTTAGGATATCGTATTTATTAGACGTTATATATATGTTACTATAAACTTAACCAGAGAAAACGATGTCTTATAATCATTTTTTAATCAAGTTAACGGTGTTCGTGATGAAGGCAATGTGAATTTTAATTTTGAAATCCGACTAGAAAAAATCCAGTAACCCGAAGGGTACAATATATGTTAAATCACCCGCATACATTCACGATACATGAAAAACAATCTTTGTTTGTTAGAAAAAGGAAAAATTGATTTTTTCAAGATATTGGAAGTAGTAAGTGACGCCTCCAAAGAGTACTAACAAATGTTTTTGAATTTAATTTTCGTAAATCTATTCGGTGAGAAATACTCCGTACTGATGTAACGTTTGCTAATTCAGATGTCATCATCAACGGGACTAATTGCTAACCCAGGAGACGAAATTAAAGTAGATCAGACACATAGCTACGTCATCCTGGGCCCAGGACTTCTTCAGGATGGTCCCAAGCGAGTGGTAGCCACACGCGCCGGCATTTTACATTTCAAAAAGCCCCATACATACTGGCTAGAAAGTCATGTAAAAAAATATTGGCCTGCAAGAGGTATGCATTATTCTCTACTGTACCAAAGTACTTTTTTTCAGATAGCATCGGCTGATTTGAGAGCAGTATACATGTAAGGAACAAGTAGTTAGGTGGGTGGGCGTTTGGTAAATTTAAATTTTTTTCCCACCGTTTCGCCATGTTTCTATAGAGCGTTACGCCAAATGTACTGAGAGATTTTGCATTGTCCAATGCAACATAAATACACTCGGGAAAGACGACGCGACATTTTACGTCGCTATAGTACGTTACACAGTTGCGAAACGAGTTTATTGTTCTTTAGTACAAATAGTTTCATTTTTTGGGCTAGTTTGAGCTAAACTGGGTTAGAGGGGTGGCGCAGAGTCAACGCCGCGGTAACCATTTCGTTCCCAACCTTCGAATCCATGCAGCCGTGTATTTTCAGATGTTTCATTAACTATTATTACTATTATCAGTATTAATGTCCTTCGAGCAGTTTGGGATGGTTGAAGTGAAACTTTTTTGAGAGTTTTTGTTTGTTCTCGCTTAGGTGATTGCGTTATTGGTTGCATCCTCCAAAAGGTCGGCGACAACTTTCGTGTCAATATTTGGGGTCCCGAACCTGCAACATTATCGGCATTTGCATTTGAAGGAGCCACAAAAAGGAATAGACCGAATCTTAAACCAGGAGACCTCTTGTACTGTCAGGTGAAGTGGCCGAGCTTGGACGTTTAAGTATTCAAATTGTATAAAAATGAGCATTAACCCAGAACGAAGGATACAAAGCACTGGGAAACTATGTGAAAACCCATAAAATATTAGTGGACCCTTTATAACATGCCCGTCGATGATCACTTCGTAGATTTGTTTACGAAGATTCCATACACATTTGAAACCCCTCGGTACCAAAGCTAAATCGGAACGAATTTTGTTAACATCTCGGCTCTATTTATTTAAATATATGTAATATTATCGTTCTCCACTAATTTCAAGGGTGCACATACCTGTTAGCCGTAAATGCCATATTAAAAATTACTTAGCAAGTATGGGACCAGCAGTTTGGAAAATTATACTACTTTATTATATGTTGAGTAATTAGCTGACAGAATTTTATTTACCTACTTTAGATAATATCTGCACATACAGCAATGGAAGCTGAGGTGGTTTGCGTTAACTCATATGGTCGCAGAGGGTCGTTAGGTGTTCTTGAATCAGATACTTCGACACTCATTACTCTTCCACTCGAAGTGATTCATATGCTTTTGTCTAAGGAATGCCCACTGCTAACGACGCTTGGAAAGAAAATACAGTACGAATTAGCTATTGGACAGAACGGAAAGGTAAATTAACTGTTAATTAAGAAATTCTAGTCTCGTATTTACTGGGCCTATTATTCTGGTACAGCGTATATAAACGTAGCTATTTACTATTGCTGTCTGATCTCGTTAAAGTTTGTCGTCCTATCAACGTATCATTAGTTAGACATGTAAGTAACGGTATTCATATTGGCGTTTAAGGCGAAGATCGAAGAACAATCAATTAAAGTGAAACTATGAAGAGTATTATTTGATGATGCCCTTAGGGGCGCAGCTCACCATTGCCTTGAAAAAAATGAAGCGTCGTTTTGCTTGGCTCTGCTCGTCGTTTCAAAAGCTTTATAGAAGCCATGTTATGCGCCTCGTTGCACGATACTGTTTGTTCCCATTAATTTTCGTAATGGACACTGGACTCGATATTTAAACTCTTAGATGCCGACTGAAAGACTTCACACTTTTCAAGTGGACTTTTTAGAAATGTATAGGCTATTTTTTAGTCGAGAATGTATTGAGTATGGAGTACCCGATATACATACCATTACAAAGCAAATACATTATATCATTCATAGTCTTCGAGGTATCTATAGCCTAGAAGTTCGAAGGTTATCATATTAATTGTGTTCTGAACCGCAAAAGCAATGTGAAATGAAACGCGAAAAAAAAAGTTCGCATCATTAAGCCTTTGGTGTTCGTCTGACACATGAACAAAATGGTACTTCTAGAATGGTACTTCAATCAGTTTGTCACAAATTTTTCAGCGACTGGAGAAATATTTTCATCTAAAGAAATTATTTGTATAAATTAGGAAACAGAAGTAATAACCTAGTAATAGTTATAATAATTTTAATAATATATTCAAGTACAATTTGCGGTAGCAAACACTTGGGCTGCTTTGTAGCACAGCCTGTAATATATGTTCACAAGGATATAAGGCAGAGTTCCACCATATTACTTGCGAAATTCGTCTAATATTATTATAATTATCCTAACAACTCCTAAAAATACTCTACTAAAAGGTCTTAAATCGATTCCTGTTATTTCAGGTATGGGTGAACGGTAGTACCATTGAGAAGACGATGCAAATCTGCACAGCCCTAAAGGCTTGTACAAAACTAAGTATTGCGCAAATTCGTGACATGTGCCAAAGAATAGCTGGAAGTTGAGGTGGTGCTGCTGCCATAATTGGTATATGAAAACAAGAATAGTCGTTGAACTAATCATAATTGAAACACTCGTAATTGACTAGCATGTGAAAGGAAAAAAAAGTGTCACTGTTGTACTTATCTGTACATACTCGTTGTGAATAAAGTTACCTCAAGCCACTGGTACGAGGGTGTTCATATTTAATATTTCCAAATGTAATTAGCAGTGATTCATAGTCACAGACACGGTACCCATAACCCAATTCCTCTGTTTTTGCTATAAGTGCGATAATCTTCGTGTACGAGCTAGTTCATATTGCTAACCAGCTAGCTTCGTACCATGTACATTTTTAAGAAGCTGTGATGCAAGCTACCGGTACTTGTTTTTTCCTTTGTCACGGAATTTATTTAACGTAGATGATAGTATAAGGAACCAGACCTATAGGACAAGGAGCCTTTCGCTAATATCTGTGTTCTTGCAAAAGCTATGGGCACAGCTTATTAGCATGACGCTATAATCGTCCTGAATCATGACTCTTTTTATCTCAGATTTGTTTAGGTCTACAATCAACAGTATCCGAATCAGGCCAAAATCGTCATCGTTAAGTCCAAGGGTAGAAATGCGGAAATGTACAACTATTTGTGATATTCTAATTAGGCTTCTGTTGAAAATCAGTAATAATCATTCCAGAGTATTAATGTATTATACATTATACTAGCATCCTGACGTTTGTGCAGCCAAGGATAACGTTGGGAGCATGTAAACTCGTTTCACAACATACATATCATTGTTCGATATTAGCTGATGTATTTGGCAAATCATGCTTGCGGAAAACAATGACTGGCGTTATTGCTGCGTAAGATGCACCTGTACATTTGGATATCTGATATTATTTATTACTGATTCCAGTGTCTGCTAGCCAAAATTTAATGTGAGTGCCATTTTATAAATTTCGTTTAAAAGCGCTTATGCGTGATCTTAATGATCTCCGGTGACTGTAGACTGTGGTCAAAATTGCAAGTAATTTATTGGTACCATTGAGTGTCGAAAAGCATTAAAATGGTGGTTTTTACACCATGTTAGAACAAACCATCGGTGTCTTACTCGAATATAGAGTGTAATTATAACACGTTTGCCAGACCAGTTCCTTGGTTTCAGCCCATTATGAGATGCAATATGATTTCATCAGATTGCAGCTTTATATTCGACAAGCGGTCTGATACCGCCTAATAAAAGGCGGAGTTTTTATTGAACGCCCTTTTTAAAGACACCAGTAATCTAACACAACCTAGGAGCAACCACCTACTTCATAATAGAAAGCATTAATTGTTATATCACGGATATGTTTCAAGGTGCATTGCTGTCTGTGGTTAGATGACGTCAAAGCATAAGCTTTTAGTCGTTATTCTTTAAAAGTATAAACGATGACACCTTCGCTTTATATCCAAGAGCCCCTGATTCCAAATATACATGAAAAAAATACTAGTAGTAAGCGCTATCAACGGAAAGCCGTTGCCCCCTTTCCCTGAATATAGCGATACGCCTCTCCAACATCGAGCCTGCATCGATGACCTCGTATAGCATAAGGAGGCATATAAGCTACCGAGGGCACTGAGCCTGCATATATCGATATATTTCCCATCATTATACGTCTCTATTCGTTGAGGATTTCCAACGTCACTCTGAGCAAAAACACCCTCCTACCTAGAATGCATCCGACAACAAGAGAGACGAACGTCTTAGGTTGACCAAAGGCTCTTTTTTACGAAACATGCAAAGAGTCACATAGAAAAAACCGATATGTGGTAATCCGCCGTGCAGCGCATGGCTTGTACGCTAATGAGTCGTACAATTAGTCTATGTTCGCTCCGGAAGCCTCTGTGACAACATCACGCGAGCTCAGGTCCAAAAACGTCTTCTCTTAATAACGTGACACACAGAAGAATGGCGCAGCCGTATCGTTTTTGCTGTATTTTATTGTTTACAAAAGTGATAAACAATTACGTGAGAGCCTAAGCACTGAAGCTGTAGCAGGTGTAGTAGAACAGCTAATGCTAATTAAAGGAGCTTAAGAAAACTGAAATGACAAAAGGACAGAGACTATGAAAACATACGAAACGTTTATTTAAATAAAACAAATTCGATTTTTTTCATTCGTACGGCCCAATCTGCATGGATTTGTGCTCCTTCCTAACAGCAGGATCACCAGTTCGACTGTAGCCCAACAGATCTACGGTACGGCATGATAGCCAGTCAAGCAACACATCCGTTGGTCTACATCGTACCATAATTCTGTTGTTTATAATCCTCTCGTACATTGTCTCTATTTTTTGCTAACGCTTATAAATGTCCACATGGCTTTTGTTTGTTCGTGCGTGCTTGCTTGCTTGCTATGGCAACATACTCAATGAAATGCGGGTTAAGCATCCAGATTACGTCGCCCTTAACTTGAACTGTGCAATATCTATAATATATATATTGGTATAAACCACATGCGTTCACCACGACTTGAAACAGAAGTGTGTCTAGACGAGAATTTACAAGTTCCGGGTATCTTGTTGTGTTGTCGTCATTAATAATTATAGTAATGATATAAATTAATCTAATTTCTCAGTAAACGTGTGCAAAATAGTATTTTAAATAGTAGTAGCGATTGTTTGTTTAATCACACTTGCTATATATATATATATATGCTGTTGATGGTCGTCAAAGTTGTATTGAATATAGTAGTAAAAAGAAAGATTAAGATTAGGGTGTGCATTTTGTTGAACTTTCGTTAGCAACGAGTATTCTAAGTTGAAGAAAGCCTCGGCTCATACATATATGTATACTAGTAGTGCGTTAAAATTGGAGAAAACTTTGGCGAGCTGTTTGTCGCAACGGGCATGCGTTCATTAATAAAAGCCGGTCGTTTTCAGAATCTGAGCGAAGATCACCGATTATTTTATTTTTATACCTGCAAGAAAAACAAAACCTCATCAATATTAAAAATTTCATATTTTGTCTAAAATCGATATGGTTGCAGGTTATACCCAGTTTTCATGTGGCCCTCAAAATGTCTAAAAAAATTCTCATGAAGCAGATCGAAAAATCCTCTATGGGGTTTAAATTTAAGAGCTTTAAAGTTCATCGAAATAGCTAATAGCAAGCTTCTGATGCGGAAATAAGGGTCGTTTTAAAAAGGAGAATATCAGCTAATAATTGGGCTGTAGGTATGAGCTCGAACGGTTTACCTTTTTACACCACCTGAATCTCTTGGGCGTCCTTGCATTCGCAGGATATTTGGTCTGCTATCAGGCCAAAAATTAATTACGTTTTTTATATCTTTTTTTTTCTGTATAATCTATTTAAGCGACACCTCAGCCTGTTTACACCAACTAACATTGCTTGTCACACGGCTACTTTTTAAAAACTATCGTTGGATTAAGGAAGGAAAATTTTAGAATGACTAGTAAAAGGTTCACGTCCTGAAATGAAGCCGTAATTGCAGTAGATGATGGTTATATGAAATAAATATATCATAGTCAGGGAAGACGCTCTTAGCATACGCGAAAATGTTGTCGGAACATTTGTTTTTGTTATCATAGAGCCTTTTAAGCAAAGCATAAGAAAAATACTCAATTTAGATGCGTCACCCTATATCTGCATATGTATGTATATATGATTTCTGTAAAAAAAAACTTCTTTGTATTTTGCAATTTTGTTCCGGCAAAGGCACAGATGCTGCTCAGGCCCATACAAAATTGTCCTGTTTATGGTCAAGATGCGGAGAAACGAAAGTTAGCTCTGTCGTTCTCATTCTGGAAATTTCGATGTGAAAAGTGCTCGACCTAGTGGCGGACCAATACCGGAAGAAGTTGATTTCGGTTAAGCAATACCGCAGCGTGAGTAGCCATTACATTGCTAAGGAACTCAACATTCACCATAAAACAGTTTCGCCCATGAGAGAAAAGCTCCACGTTTGGGTGCGATACGAATTGGTACAAAAAAAAGTGCCACAGAAACGCCACAGAGTAGGGCTATTTGTATCGTAGCAGTTGATCATGAGCGATGAAAAACGGACCTTATACGACAGTAACATGCATATGGAAAAAATCTTCCATAATCCGTGATGAAGCTTGAACTCACGTCGAAGAGGTAAAAATCTATGTGTTCAGTGGGATTGGAACGGAATCGTGAATTATGAACTGCTGCCTTCCGACAAAATCATCGGTCCAGATTTTTACTGCTAACACCAAATTCGTTTACAGCAATCCAGTAAATAAAAAAAAAGAAAAAAAACCAACCGGCACGAGTGACAGAAACAGTGTCGTTCTCTACCATGACAATGCTAAACAACATAAACGTTAAGGTACTCTACGAAAATTCATCACGTCAATAGGAAACTTTAATCTATCCGCTGTATAGCCTGGACCTTGCACCATCAGGCTATCAGCTGTTTTGATTTTCGCAGAACTTTCACCAATCATCATGTATCAACGGCTTTCGAGCTGCGAAGCATACTGTGGTCGCATATCTACAGGTTTAGCTATGTGCGTGGTGCTCCTTCTATGTTGTTTGCAGTCGGATATTACGAGTGCATAAACTTCATGGATATATCATATTGATCATTCAAATAAAGATGATGCCGATGGGCTGCTCTATCAGCGAGAGCAACATATATCAAACATGCTTCATGCACTGCCTCTCCTTCATCCAGCGTCTTACGAGGATTGAGATGCATCCCAGAAATGATTGCTTTTGGAAATCAGACACTTACCGCTTACATACCAAAAATGTATATCATATTTTCCAACATTAACTTCGTAAGATCAATGTTAGAGGCTGGGATTTTGGTTCCGCGCTGGTGAGCTAGTGTCAGTCGTAAATAATCATTGCAACTACATAGTTTGTGCGCTAAAAAAGGATTATTGAATGATCGTTATAAAAGTATTGTTTTCATTGTTATACCGATAGCAAATGCAACCTTGATTTCATTACGCTACAAATGTTTGTGCTAAAAAGCGTCAAAGCGCCAGTGTCCCTTAAGTAGACTATAAGATACTGACTACGATACTATAAGAAAGCTTTTGATGTCTAATAACAAATATTTTTATATTATTTTAAAAAATCAAATTACAATATTGGGGATAAAAGAACGAAAAATATCGCCCGAGAATAGAAGAGCCCTGTAAACAACTCACGTTTGTAGCCACTCGCTGAACATAGCCAATACGTTTTGCGGGGGTCGTAGAGAGGCAAAGTAAAGCATCGGATTGACTTATGATATTTTCGTTTCAAGAAAACTTCATAAG